ACAGCAATAGAGCCCACACATAAATGTCACAATGCGGTCGTTCCGAACTCCTGCCACGTGAGCCTTCTTGCCATTGGTCATTGCCAGAAACAGAATCAGTGACACTCAGCCATCCCAATTCCATCAAAGGCTCAACGAGTTAGGCAGTCCCCCTGAGCTGAACATCTTACTGGGCAAAACAAGCGTCCTTCCCAAGAAAGGGTGTGCAATCATGAGGGCTCAAGCATTTCGAGAGGACCTACGCCTCTATCGCCATGTTGCCTGGCTTTGGAAATGGCAAGCTGGTTCCGATCCGAATCGACGCAACTGAGCCTCTTCGCCAAGCTGACAGCTGGAATCTGAGTGCTTCATCTCGTGTACAACAGTGGAAGTGTCGGCTCACGTCAATCATGTTATTTGACTGGCGGCTGCCTCACACGAGAACCCCACGGCCAGTAACGAATCCGATTCCTGGTCTTTCCCATGGCCTCCGTGCATCGTGTCTCAGCCACAGTGCGAAAGCTATGCGGTGTGGCATCGGCAGCCTGCGAGCAGAAAAGCTGAGTCCTTCCCTTCCCTTCTCAAACCCAAGTCCTAAGTCCAGTTTCACACGGCCCAACGCTGAGGTCAACTTCGAATTGATCATCTGGTCCGCTGAGGCTACCCATTCTAGAACACCCCACAAACTTCAAAATCTCTCAACCCCCTCAGCCCCGGCATCCCAAAATTCCCACGACATAAGTGGAAACGAATGATATCCAAGCTTTCCCATCTGTCTGAAGCCAATGGCGACAACCAAGTTCTGGGTTCCGCCAGTCTGGGCCTCCGTCTCCGCGGCCCGCAGCAGGAGGAATGCTGCCTGCCGTGCCGCTGCGCTGTCCCCGCTGCAGAGGGCCCCTGGCCATGTGTCAATGTCCCTCACAGCCCCGACGCACAACCCAAGAGAGTGCGGATTGTGCCCTTGATGTACTGGCTAAACTGTGGTTACGTAGTACATACCCGTGTTCAGTTCGGAGATATTGAAAACCACTCACAGCCTTGGAACTTGCATGGCCACAAATGCATTGACCACTACTTCAATCAAAAAGCCGTCTTGTGATATTTGGTACAAGTACAGAATAACATCCACAGCACGAACAGAGACCCGGGGCCTCCGCTGTTTGGCGGCCCAAGTCAGGGTCAGATCTCGGGGTGCTAAAGCCAAATGGACCTAACCGGAAAAAGGTTACTTCACAATCCTCAGGCGAGCCTCCTTTCCGACTGAGGACCGGCAAGGACCTCGCCCATAATGTTTGCAAAACTTCCAGGGGAAGTCAGCAATGATGTCCGACTGCTCGAAAGCAAGAAAATGAGGTGATGAATCTTCCAACATTTGTGCATTCGCTTGGGGGGTTCCTTTGGCTTGGTTTCCCTCCGGCTCCCTTTTGGTGTCTCTTGCTTTCCGTTTGTTGGATTCCCTCATGACTTTCTTCTGGACATTTGCCGCACCAGGGCTCGGAGCCCCGCGCGCCTCGCAGCGCCGCGGCGCCCGTCAGCGCCAGCGCGGCAGGCGCCTGCCAATTGGCTCACAGGCAATTGAGGTGCGCACAGGTCTGCTTTTTGGGCAAAGGCGCTATTGTCAGTACCTGAGAGACACATACACTTTCGGATGTTTCTACAATCCATTTGGGTTTGGTGTTGGGGTTTCAAAGACAACACCGGAAGTTATGTACACATCAAAGGAAGCTGGCAGATGTTTCCTCCACAAGTAGAGCATGGACAAATCAGGGACCTCAAGAGAATTGGTGAGCGGAAGGGCGAACTGATAAGGGTGACAACACAAGATTCTGTCAGTCACAAGATATTTGCCACACGCGTGACACATCGACGCAAAACCAATGTGATGCCAAATCAAATACAATGGCTGAATGGAGGGCAAACTGATGGAAGGATCACCAACACAAATATGGAGGTCAGCCTGGATCAAGCCTTGAACAGGCAAATGTGGGCAACATCTCAGACTTCTCCTCTGTGTCGAGTCAAAGAATGTAAACTAACTCCGTTGGAATGGCAGGTGTGTTACTGGGCGGGCCAGAGCTTTCGAATTCACAAGGTTGATGAGGTAAGTGGTCAGCTGCGGCATGTTCTACTTTACGGCTTGCTTCAACCACGTAGAAACATAATCCTGCTTCCGTGCTTGTTGAGACCAACTTTGTGCTGCTTTCCAGTAAGCCGGTAAGTACCGTCAACAATCTTGCACTCCACAATACAGGGTCCAAACATATAACTGGCTCCAGCGCTCATGCCATCAGGCCCCTTTGCACCCCCGCCTCTGGCTCGAGCATCTGCAGCTCCTCCGAGCTTAGCAGCGGCCCTTGCCTCGCGAGGACCTCCGCAGCCAGGTGCGACAGTCGCATCTCCGGCGGTCTCTGAGACGAGTTCAGCCGCTGCAACGTCCCGGCCACCGACGCCAGCGCCCGGCACAGTGGCTGCGGCACGAGGTCCCGGGAGCCAAAGGTCGCGAGTAGGTCCCGGAGCCGCAGAAAGGACTGTGCGAAGAGCGGTGTATCCAAAGAAGCCTCGTCCAGCAGCTGCAGCAGCAATTGCAGGTGGCGAGTGCTCGGCGCGTGCAGCAGGACGTTGGCCTGGTCAACTTGAGGCCTAAACAAACTCCCCTCCGCCTATCCAGCCTTCTCCAGCAGGCTCGCCCGCGACGGAGCATGAGCCCATAAGGCCAGCAACTCCACCGGCATGCTCCTCAGCCCAGCCTGGAAAACAAGTGCGCAAAAAGGCGGCGGCAGCAGCAGCAAGGTGCATCATTAAAACTGATTGAAAGGAAAGACCATGCCTCTTTTGTCCTATGCGATGGCATCAACTAAGATGGCTTTACCTAAGATAGCTCCACCTGAGTTTCTCCCACGCATGGAGCATACACTTGTCCAAAAAACAGTGCAGGAAACAGCACACGTCAAAATGGCAAGCCCAATTCCCCATCGTCGGTGAATTGGGTCTCAATCTTCATTTGTCTGGCTCGGGCTGTACAAATGAATCTGAGGAATGGCACGGGAAGATGATGCCATGCTGCTCACACTGACAAATCTATCCTGCCTCAAAGTCATCTGAGTCAGCTCCGGACAAGTTCTGCATCAGGGACACCACAGGTCTTCCTGCCATCCTGCGTACGCTTCCCAGCATTACAATCCCTTGCCCATCTCTTGTTCTCCTTTTCAAGGTTCCCAACACTAACTCAAGCAATCTTGGCCCTGTATTTCAAAAGCAAGTTTGGCACAGAGCACTGCAAAGAAAGATTGCTTGATCTCAGCTTCTTACGATTTTCCACTCCTTCGGTTCCACAATTCCTCAACCTCCGCCAGCAGGTTGTCAATCTCAGAATCAGGCTTCTCCTCACGCGCTCAAAAGGTGATTCCTCAATGGAATTCCGTCACTCGTGATGCTCGAGGCAAGGAAGCCCGTTGAATCTCTTTGATTTGCAAAGCAAGCATGCACAACAGCGAGCAGGCAAGCCAACAAGCGAGCCACACATCAATCAGTGGCACCATGTGTGCGTGTGCGTGTGCGCGGTGCGGTGTGCGCGGTGCGGTGTGCTCGGTGCGGTGTGCGCGGTGCGGTGTGCGCGGTGCGGTGTGCGCGGTGCGGTGTGCGCGGTGCGGTGTGCGCGGTGCGGTGTGCGCGGTGCGGTGTGCGCGGTGCGGCGTGCGCGGT